GCCGTCGTGGATCATTGCATGATACAATGTCGACCACCTGTAGATGGGTATTGCAACACCTATATCACTGAAACACGACCATCCACGTACCGATCATGTCACGACCGTCGTGGATCATTGCATGATACAATGTCGACCACCTGTAGATGGGTATTGCAGCACCTATATCACTGAAACACGACCATCCATGTACCGATCATGTCACGACCGTCGTGGATCATTGCATGATACAATGTCGACCACCTGTAGATGGGTATTGCAGCACCTATATCACTGAAACACGACCATTCATGTACCGATCATGTCATGACCGTCGTGGATCATTGCATGATACAATGTCGACCACCTGTAGATGGGTATTGCAGCACTTATATCACTGAAACACGACCATCCATGTACCGATCATGTCACGACCGTCGTGGATCATTGCATGATAAAATGTCGACCACCTGTAGATGGATATTGCAGCACCTATATCACTGAAACACGACCATCCATGTACCGATCATGTCATGACTGTCGGTGGATCATTGCATGATACAATGTCGACCACCTGTAGATGGGTATTGCAGCACCTATATCACTGAAACACGACCATTCATGTACCGATCATGTCATGGCCGTCGTTGATCATTGCATGATACAATGTCGACCACCTGTAGATGGGTATTGCAGCACCTATATCACTGAAACACGACCATCCATGTACCGATCATGTCACGATCGTCGTGGATCATTGCATGATACAATGTCGACCAACTGTAGATGGATATTGCAGCACCTATATCACTGAAACACGACCATTCATGTACCGATCATGTCATGGCCGTCGTGGATCATTGCATGATACAATGTCGACCACCTGTAGATGGGTATTGCAGCACCTATATCACTGAAACACGACCATTCATGTACCGATCATGTCATGACCGTCGTGGATCATTGCATGATACAATGTCGACCACCTGTAGATGGGTATTGCAGCACCTATATCACTGAAACACGACCATCCATGTACCGATCATGTCATGGCCGTCGTGGATCATTGCATGATACAATGTCGACCACCTGTAGATGGGTATTGCAGCACCTATATCACTGAAACACGACCATCCATGTACCGATCATGTCACGACCGTCGTGGATCATTGCATGATACAATGTCGACCACCTGTAGATGGGTATTGCAGCACCTATATCACTGAAACACGACCATTCATGTACCGATCATGTCATGGCCGTCGTTGATCATTGCATGATACAATGTCGACCACCTGTAGATGGGTATTGCAGCACCTATATCACTGAAACACGACCATCCATGTACCGATCATGTCACGACCGTCGTGGATCATTGCATGATACAATGTCGACCACCTGTAGATGGGTATTGCAGCACCTATATCACTGAAACACGACCATCCATGTACCGATCATGTCACGATCGTCGTAGATCATTGCATGATACAATGTCGACCACCTGTAGATGGGTATTGCAGCACCTATATCACTGAAACACGACCATTCATGTACCGCTCATGTCATGACCGTCTAGGATCATTGCATGATACAATGTCGACCACCAGTAGATGGGTATTGCAGCACCTATATCACTGAAACACGACCGTCCATGTACCGATCATGTCACGATCGTCGTGGATCATTGCATGATACAATGTCGACCACCTGTAGATGGGTATTGCAGCACCTATATCACTGAAACACGACCATCCATGTACCGATCATTTCACGATCGTCGTGGATCATTGCATGATACAATGTCGACCAACTGTAGATGGATATTGCAGCACCTATATCACTGAAACACGACCAATTATGTACTGATCATGTCATGACCGTCGTAGATCATTGCATGATACAATGTCGACCACCTGTAGATGGGTATTGCAGCACTTATATCACTGAAACACGACCATTCATGTACCGATCATGTCATGGCCGTCGTGGATCATTGCATGATACAATGTCGACCACCTGTAGATGGGTATTGCAGCACCTATATCACTGAAACACGACCATCCACGTACCGATCATGTCACGACCGTCGTGGATCATTGCATGATACAATGTCGACCACCTGTAGATGGGTATTGCAGCACCTATATCACTGAAACACGACCATTCATGTACCGATCATGTCATGACCGTCGTGGATCATTGCATGATACAATGTCGACCACCTGTAAATGGGTATTGCAGCACCTATATCACTGAAACACGACCATCCATGTACCGATCATGTCACGACCGTCGTTGATCATTGCATGATACAATGTCGACCACCTGTAGATGGGTATTGCAGCAGCTATATCACTGAAACACGACCATTCATGTACCGATCATGTCATGACCGTCGTGGATCATTGCATGATACAATGTCGACCACCTGTAGATCGGTATTGCAGCACCTATATCACTGAAACACGACCATTCATGTACCGATCATGTCACGACCGTCGTGGATCATTGCATGATACAATGTCGACCACCAGTAGATGGATATTGCAGCACCTATATCACTGAAACACGACCATCCATGTACCGATCATGTCATGACTGTCGGTGGATCATTGCATGATACAATGTCGACCACCTGTAGATGGGTATTGCAGCACCTATATCACTGAAACACGACCATTCATGTACCGATCATGTCATGACCGTCGTGGATCATTGCATGATACAATGTCGACCACCTGTAGATCGGTATTGCAGCACCTATATCACTGAAACACGACCATTCATGTACCGATCATGTCACGACCGTCGTGGATCATTGCATGATACAATGTCGACCACCAGTAGATGGATATTGCAGCACCTATATCACTGAAACACGACCATCCATGTACCGATCATGTCATGACTGTCGGTGGATCATTGCATGATACAATGTCGACCACCTGTAGATGGGTATTGCAGCACCTATATCACTGAAACACGACCATTCATGTACCGATCATGTCATGGCCGTCGTTGATCATTGCATGATACAATGTCGACCACCTGTAGATGGGTATTGCAGCACCTATATCACTGAAACACGACCATTCATGTACCGATCATGTCATGGCCGTCGTGGATCATTGCATGATACAATGTCGACCACCTGTAGATGGGTATTGCAGCACCTAGATCACTGAAACACGACCATTCATGTACCGATCATGTCATGGCCGTCGTGGATCATTGCATGATACAATGTCGACCACCTGTAGATGGGTATTGCAGCACCTATATCACTGAAACACGACCATCCATGTACCGATCATGTCACGACCGTCGTGGATCATTGCATGATACAATGTCGACCACCTGTAGATGGGTATTGCAGCACCTATATCACTGAAACACGACCATCCATATACCGATCATGTCACGACCGTCTAGGATCATTGCATGATACAATGTCGACCACCTGTAGATGGATATTGCAGCACCTATATCAATGAAACACGACAATCCATGTACCGATCATGTCATGACTGTCGGTGGATCATTGCATGATACAATGTCGACCACCTGTAGATGGGTATTGCAGCACCTATATCACTGAAACACGACCATTCATGTACCGATCATGTCATGGCCGTCGTTGATCATTGCATGATACAATGTCGACCACCTGTAGATGGGTATTGCAGCACCTATATCACTGAAACACGACCATTCATGTACCGATCATGTCATGATCGTCGTGGATCATTGCATGATACAATGTCGACCACCTGTAGATGGGTATTGCAGCACCTATATCACTGAAACACGACCATCCATGTACCGATCATGTCACGATCGTCATGGATCATTGCATGATACAATGTCGACCAACTGTAGATGGATATTGCAGCACCTATATCACTGAAACACGACCAATTATGTACCGATCATGTCATGACCGTCGTAGATCATTGCATGATACAATGTCGACCACCTGTAGATGGGTATTGCAGCACCTATATCACTGAAACACGACCATTCATGTACCGATCATGTCATGGCCGTCGTGGATCATTGCATGATACAATGTCGACCACCTGTAGATGGGTATTGCAGCACCTATATCACTGAAACACGACCATTCATGTACCGATCATGTCATGGCCGTCGTGGATCATTCCATGATACAATGTCGACCACCTGGAGATGGGTATTGCAGCACCTATATCACTGAAACACGACCATCCATGTACCGATCATGTCACGATCGTCATGGATCATTGCATGATACAATGTCGACCACCTGTAGATGGATATTGCAGCACCTATATCACTGAAACACGACCATCCATGTACCGATCATGTCATGACTGTCGGTGGATCATTGCTTGATACAATGTCGACCACCTGTAGATGGGTATTGCAGCACCTATATCACTGAAACACGACCATTCATGTATCGATCATGTCATGGCCGTCGTGGATCATTGCATGATACAATGTCGACCACCTGTAGATGGGTATTGCAGCACCTATATCACTGAAACACGACCATTCATGTACCGATCATGTCATGACCGTCGGTGGATCATTGCATGATACAATGTCGACCACCTGTAGATGGGTATTGCAGCACCTATATCACTGAAACACGACCATCCATGTACCGATCATGTCACGACCGTCGTGGATCATTGCATGATACAATGTCGACCACCTGTAGATGGGTATTGCAGCACCTATATCACTGAAACACGACCAGTCATGTACCGATCATGTCACGACCGTCGTGGATCATTGCATGATACAATGTCGACCACCTGTAGATGGGTATTGCAGCACCTATATCACTGAAACACGACCAGTCATGTACCGATCATGTCATGACCGTCGTGGATCATTGCATGATACAATGTCGACCACCTGTAGATGGGTATTGCAGCACCTATATCACTGAAACACGACCATTCATGTACCGATCATGTCATGACTGTCGGTGGATCATTGCATGATACAATGTCGACCTGTCCAGAACTTACACTTTGGTCCTTTGAAATGTACCAAGGCTGTTTCCTCATTCCTGTTCATGTCGACTCTAGTTACTTCCAATCCCTCACTTTTACGCCATTTCTTAAAATACAGCATCAGAGCTCCTCCGGTGATTGAGGGGAGGATACGTGTTGTCTTGATCACGGAAGACTCTTCCATTGTTCCCTTTAACACAGGATAAAGAAAAGTAAGGTTTGTAATCGAAAAAATGTGCTGAGTTGTCCCCCTTAGTCCCACAGTGCCATTCTGGCACCCGCTCAAATAGATTTGATTACAGTCTCGTGTAGCTTATAGAAGTCACTTCAAAGGTGACTAATACTGTTATTGCTGTATCGTATATCTGATTGAAATATATGTATCATGATAGATCTGTCCTTTATAATATGAATATGTTGTGAGAAAAAGGCTACACATTACGAAACTCCAAAATACCTATTTTTGCTTCCATGGAAATGTGACATACAGTTAACTACGGTTATAACGAACTCAAAGGGACCACTAGTTTAAGTTCGTTATAACCGTAGTTCGTTATATGCATATATACAACATCTATACAGCAAATGGCCGGGACCAAAAAATAAGTTCGTAATATCCGTCAGTTCGTTATAAGCGTGTTCGTTATAAACGTAGTTTACTGTACTAGCATTGTACTCCAGTATACGTGATCTATCTTGCTGTGGTAATCTATTAGTGCCTGTTGGTCAATATATTGTCATACTGCTGTTGGTCTGTAATCGTGACAGAAGATAGGTAGAAGATGTTTTTTGTCATCCAAGGAAAAAGGTTTAACAACACTGGATTAAACAGATTTCATTCCAGGGCCCACTTGCGATCTTAGCGCTAAGATGATTGTAACTCCCATGCTTTAACATAGGCTTACAATAGTCGCAGCGCTAAGATAGCTTTGTGCAAGTGGTCCCGGATCCTTCCGCCTGTTCAAACCATGAATTTTGCCCTCTTCTAGTGTTGGTTGAATATGTCAGTACTGGTGAGGTGAAAATGCTTTAACGTTTTCAGAGCAAGAGAATAACCAGTCCATATTCTCTATCGAACCAGATTCCATTTGGCGTAAATATTCACAATATACACACAGCATACAGGCCTTTCACGATTGCACAATATAACATCGAAACCACCTGACGAAAGCAAAAGCGATTCACATTTCTAAACTGTATTTGAAAAGCTGTCATTCTACTCTTGATAATATTTGACAGCGGTCTATGCATGTTCTTTCAATGTATGTTATCGATGGCGATACCTTTCATACTTTTGCCAATACATGAAAGCATAATGTCAAGGACTATCGGGGAAATGCATTGGATTACGAAACAGCACATTTATTTAAGGATTGGCTGTGTATTTGTTTCGGTTCATTGAGGTATGAATCGAAAAACCGATGTGTAAACTGTATGGATCCGCGTAGCGGATTCTTACAAAAGTTTGCAAATCGGTGTCCGAACGATCGCAAATCAAAAGTGGGAGAGATATGACAATCGGTATAAGGAGAAAGGTACAGATATTCGACGTAAGAATTTTGAAGAATGCGGAAAATACTAAACTTAACCCACCCTTAAAATATTTTTAAAGTTTGTACATTGTATGAACATCCTTAAAGAGTTTGTACATAATGTTGATAGCTCATATAAGAAGAAATAAACGACTCGTGGTCGTTGTTTATCGTACAATTATAACACTGCATGGAAAAAACCACTCGGGGCAGCGCCCCTCATGGTGGGTGTGGTTCGAGTTTCAAATAAATCGCACTACGGTAAGTTCAGTCTGTTTCTAGAACAATATATTTTGTTTGGCGTGTCATAGTTCCAAAGTACGTAATATTTTCTTCTATTTTTTATAAATATTTTTTACTTTATAAAATAAGACTAAACAACATATATGTAGTTTGTGTATGTTACTCAATAATTTGTGTACTAAAAGTCTATCTCAGTCCGCGATGGTATACGCCGGCCTTCATTCACAAGTTTTATTGATAAGCATTATGTATTCAACGTTAATACTACATGCGTGTAGTTGATAGGCGGGGCGGTCGGGTAGCCTAGTGGTTAAAGCGTTCGCTCGTCACGACGAAGACCCGTGTTCGAATCCCGACATGGGTACAATGTGTGAAGCCCATTTCTGGTGTCCCCCGCCGTGATATTGCTGGAATATTGCTAAAAGCGGCGTAAAACCATACTCACTCACTCACTCACTCACTAGTTGATAGGCATTATGTATTAAGCGTTAAGACTACATGCATCTAGTTAAAGGCATTATGTATTAAGCGTTAAGACTACATGCGTGTATCATCCGAAGTCGAAATATCAGTCGGTGTTGACATACGCCTGCATTCATTCCCAAGATTTAGTCTATAAGCGTTATGTGCTAATCGTTAAGACTACATGTCCGACGAGAGAACATTACTCTATGATAACGCGCTCTCCGAGAAAACTTATGTAATTTTAGTCATTTCTGCATATTCATGTCCTTCAAAACTGCTAGGTAATATCTAAATTCAGAAAGTCAGCATGTTAGATTAGCAACATTGTGTAGGTATTGTTTAAGTAAGTGATAATTGAAAATGCGACCATATCATGAACTAAGAGCATCGATGGTACAAATAACAGCCTATATTCGGGGTACCTCACCAAATTAAAAATCTTAAACAAAACTGCAAACAATCAAATATCTTCACCCCTAAACTTAAAATACCCAAAATAGACACAACACTAGCTAGCCAAATAAATAAACAAACCGACCCAAACATAGCTAAAACCACCTCACTAGCATACATACACGAAAATTGGCCAAATTGGTTTCACATTTACACAGACGGATCTTCAGATCCGATCTCCAAACACACAGGCTTCAGAGTCCATACCACACAACCAACTAAAACCACACAATCCTTCCGACTCCCAAACAACCAATCAATATTCACGGCAGAACTAATGGGCATGGCCTCAGCCTTCCATAATCAAGAATCCAAAAACCACCAAAAAATCCTAATACTTACCGACTCCCTAAGTGGACCGCAAGCCCTCCAAAACAATAATACCAAAAACCGACCTAAATTAATAAATCAAATACTTAAAAGCTCCAACGACCTAACTAAGGCAGGCAAACAAATAACATTCTTATGGATCCCCGCCCACGTAGGAATATACGGTAATGAAAACGCCGATAAAGCAGCTAAACTATCCCTCAAAATCCTAGAAATAAGCTTAAACTTACCCATCTCAAAATCAGAAATTAAAAGTGTAAACAAGCAAAAGATCACCAAAAAATGGCATAACCTAATATCTAAACTCAAATAGCCAAATCAAAAAAGTACTCAGCAAACCACTTACCAAACCAAAAATTCTCCATCCATCAAAAAAAAAATGACAGAGTAATCACTAAACTCCAAACAGGACACACCAACCTAAATAACCACCTAAAAAATAATAAACACACTACAGGTAACTGCCCACACTGCAAACAACTAGAAACACCAGAACACGCACTCATCCACTGCACACATTACCTAACACATCGAACCGCATTACAAACCACCCTCAATCTAAACAAGGCTCTCACTCAAACAATACTAAACCCACAAAATAAACTAGAAAACCTCAAAGCCTTAGGCGTATTCTTAATCAAAACGGAACTAATAAAACGCATCTAAAAACAAAATAATCTACCAAATCAAAATCACATAAACAAACAAACATCCACCATACCCAGCTCCCTTAGTTCTCCTCCCCAACCCCATCGGCATCTATTCCAAATCTCAAAATTCCCAAATTCTATATAAGAGACCCCTAAAGCCCCCTCTTGGGTTGCACTCACCACTTTCGCCCCTTTCGGAAACACATTAAATGGCCTGGCCGGGCCCGTGTGCGAAATACGCATCAGTCGGAAAGCGCACGTAAAATCTCCAATATAAGTAAGTAAGTAAGTAAGTAAGTAAGTAAGTAAGTAAGTAAGTAAGTAAGTAAGTAAGGGGTACCTCACTGATGGGATACACGGAATAAAGACTGACCACTAACAGATGCTTCTTATGGTTGTTTTAAGGTAAGACATGTTCACTTCATATATATTGTATGTTCTGAAACTATATTCCTATTTTCCTGTTTTTTTTGCATTCTATATTCTTAGTTCCTTTGAATATAATCAACATTTTAAATTTGGCATTATTGATTTAGGTAACCAATGAAGTTATTATAATAGTTAGGTTAGATCATGTAGCACTAGAAATAATGTAAATAATATGGTGCATATACACATAGTATAAAATATAATATGATAACTTTTACACACTAGTTAAGCAAATTAAAGTCACACATAATCGGGCTCGTGGAAGCAAAGTAATTATTGTGCACATATCTTATATTATATTGCATGTTTGTATGTAAATGAATGTATCTTTAAAGAATTACCGTGTGTGTGTTCAATTCAACTGATTCAAACTACCCTTGATGTAATCAATGTTTAAACAATGTACTTATTAAGCGAGGCAACTATACTGTACACGCATTCACATTTGTTGTTTTATTCAGTTGCTCATGTATTGCTATATTTTCAGTATTGTTAAGGTCTATTTATGTCTACATTGTACACATACAATGACATGCCGTCGGGCATATGACTCTTGGTTATTAACGGTAGTTTAGATATAAAGCATGTGTCCATATTATTTAATTAGCAGGCTGAAATTTTATATAACCATTTGTGTATTCTTTGTAGTCGGTTTAAGTTGTATTCTGCTAGGTGTATTAATAGGTACGCTTATCATTACGTTCTCCATAAACATCAAAGATTATGTAAGATTATTTTAGTTATTGGTAACACATGCAGTACGTGTCTTACCGAAGAGTTATCTTATTTATTTACAATATATTGTCCTTAATTGCGCTATATCACGTATTTTATTTTCAACCAAATGTAAAGTGTCTTCGTTTCATTGTTAAATGCAATTGTTTATTGTATGATACATTGTCAGTAAGATTTATACTGTAACTGTTATGCATAATTTTCGGAATACTTTAATTGTCTTAGATTGTACTTTGTTTATGTTTTATTGTGATATGTAAATGACTGATGAGATACACTGAATAAAGACTGGCCACTAACAGATGCTTCTCTTGGTTGTTTTAAGGTGTGCGGTTCCACCCTAATTCCCCGACAACAAATTCTGGGAATTATAATCAGCCTAGACCAAACATAAACCTTTAAAGGTTATTATAGGTCATAAGGTTTATTATAGGCGCTCAACACAGCGGGGTTCAAGGCGGGTACAACCCCATTCTTATGACATTTTAAAAGTAAAATACGGGGATAAATCGTACTACGGTATAAGTTCATTCATGAACGCATGTGAATGTTCACAGGAAAATGATTATCGACAGATACTTACTCATTCAAATAATAATTTGAGACGCTGAATTCATCTTGACTGTCAAATAAGTCTGTGGATCCACCTAGGCATAATTCATTTTTTTAATGTTTCTTTTTCATCTTTTGCTTAAACGATCATTTTGCTTCTACGTTCTAATAAATGTGAACACAGCTGATGAACTGGATAAAATGATCAACTGAACAACTAAGATATTTCTTTTCTGATATTGTATTGAACAAAACAATTGTCATACATTCCCGCATTCGTCCCGTACCTATGCAAAGATGTCTTCACTGCTCTTCAAGTCGACTCTGTTTAATTTGTACAAGCCACAGTTTATGAATTTACAAGTTGTGAGCGTAGTTGCTTTCGTAGTAACGAGTCCATATAAGGAAAGTCACATGGTCAGACATGGCAAGGGACGCAATTCATGCGCTAGTCGCAGTCTGTTACTATAAATAGCCAAACTATACAACCGTGTACACGGCTTCACTTTCTATTGTAAAACTCTCTGCCCCCATATATGTCACCTTCAATTCATTTTGGGTCCTTTTTTAGCAAAAAGCCTCCTAACGTATTTCGGTACGCTAGCGTGCGCGCGCTTATGAACAAAGCTGCCTTCGGCAGCGGTTTCCTTACGGAAACCCCCGAAGTGGTGACCCAAACCACAAACCTGCAGTTGACCCTAACTGATACTATCTTTCGTCTGGAAACAAACTTTTTTCTCTAATCACAATCTAAAATTCACACCATGTGAAAACAATTTCTAAAAATACACTCTGTAAACGCAATCGTGACAGTTGACTCACCAATATTCGAATGCAACAGGGCTATAATCCCACCGTAACTTGTACACACATATACTTCCTTGATATTTCTGCCACAGCGTTGTGCGTGTATATCTCGTACTGTTCCATATACTGTTAATAAATACGTTTTTCAGTAGTCCTTCCGATGTAAATCTGCACTGATCATGAGTATTTTGTAATAACCACGCACAGGTAGAGACCCGTCCCAAACAACGTGGCATAGAATCAATATGAAACCGAAAGCAGGATAAGACATTACTCGCATACGGCAATCCTTTTCCTGGAACATAGGGGGTGAGGGGGGGGGGGGGGCAACAAGTACAAAGGTCAAGAGGAGTAGCTTTGCTAAGTCGTTGAAGTTTTTAAAATGGTATTAATGCAGAGTAAACGATAAGATACATACATACATACATACATACATACATACATACATACATACATACATACATACATATATAATCCTTTGATTCGTGAGAAGTCAATTAACCAAGTGACACTGAGTTACGTTTGAGACGAGCTTGTTTATTGTACATGTAATCCCCTTCGATAAATATGGCGTCTGTGGAGGTCAGAGGTCAAAGTCGTGTAAGGATGGTCTGTCAACCAGCGAAACGAAAGCGACACGCAGTTACAGCACGCGAAGAAAAGGGAAATTTGTCTGTTTAAAGAAAAACACCCGTCAGCAAGTTTAGAAACCATCAGTAAGCATTATGGCACTGCATTTGGACATACCATAGGAAAATCGACAATTGGTGACAGTTCAAACTCCCATGACAGACTTTTTGAAACGTGTATGAATAAAGATTGAGTGGATGTATGTTTGCTCTGTCATCTGTCATAAGTTGCATAATTGAAGGGAAGTAACTCTTCCAGTAAGAAGCTGGTTTCAGTTATACGGAAATTCGTTTATACGGACGAATTGTGAAATGACGCAAGTGTCCGTATAAACGACTGTATATATATATATATATATATATATATATATATATATATATATATATATATATATATACTGCAACCTTAGATGTCAAATCGATTATATTTCTACAACTTCCTATAATACACTATCATTCTGTAAATCACCATGTCACAAAATGATGTACAATTACATTAGATAATATCGTCAAAACAGCTAAGAATTCAAAGAAACCGAAAGTAGGATTGGGATGTACTTGTTGTTTCATAGGCTCTTTTTTTCTTTGAAAACACGGATCAATAAGCATGCAATATTTCATCTCCTGGTTCAACCCGGGTTCGATTCCCGACGTGGGTACAATGTGTGAAGCCCATTTCTGGTGTCCCCCGCCGTGATATTGCTGGAATATTGCTAAAGCGGCGTAAAACCACACTCACTAACTCAAAATGAGTGGCCTTTTTTCAACACATGGTTCTATAATGATATGACGATGGAAACAGTAAACCCATATACGTATTTAGGACTTATTGTTACTCAATAATTCATCGGAACATGTAAAAACTGTCTGAAAAGGCATTAAGGCGCTCATAAGGCAATACAGCGGAAGGATTACCACCAGCGGTAGTGTATTGTCCGGGTAAGTGAGACAATTTTGTGTGCTTTTCAGTGTTTTGTGTATGAAAATGACCATCCGGGTTCCGGAAACTGAATTTCCGTATATACGGGTAAATTTATATAGTAATTATTTCGTTTTGAATGAAAATCGTCCGCGAACCGAGGTTTCCGGACATCTGAAATCCGTATAAGCGGGGCATGACTGTTTATGATATCTCGATATGATTCATTTTATAGTTCTAACAAAAAAGATTGTATCAATATTATTGTAAACATTTGGGCTCTTCAGAATAGGGAAGATATTGAAATACTGCATCGTAAATACTCCAAATCTCTGTTACATGTTGGTTAAAGGGCTGGTAATAGTTAGCTTATGGTGGATGCGGGGTGAAATCGGGTTTAACTTAGCGTCCAAGATTATTGCACTTGTATAACGAAGTGCCTGCACACGTGTTTGTGTGTGTGTGCGTGCGTGCGTGCGTGCGTGCGCGCGCGCGTGTGAGGCTGTTTGTACTAGTCCGGACTGATGCCAATTTATAGTGCTAGCACACTCAGATACCATGCCGAAGTTTAACATGAATTCCCCAATTCTAAACAGATTACGCAAAATTTAGTTGATCCAAATATATTTTTATGCAAATTATTGAGAGAGTAAGTCTTCTTTGGGGAACTGGCATGCCTCTTTACATTCTCCTTCATTGTCATTTTATTGGCTATTGGTGAGAGAGGCAATATCGTTTACAATTGTAAATTATCTGAGGAGCTGCGTCAACGTTGTACACTGTACAGTACATGGGCTGTATTATTCCATCGAGAGGCTGTATACATTTTGTACATCTCCAGATGTCAGTGTAATTGCACGTTGCGCAAAATTCCTCAAACATGTACTTTCTACATAAATAAAAGCGACAAAACCCTTTATATATTCATAAAAAAATCTCCGCCAAAAGCAGAGTCGATTGTGGGATTCCAGCTTTATCATGAGCATGTGTTTATAAATCGATATCAAATAGTGATGATACCAGGTTTTCGTGAAAAGGCGAGCGTATCCTGCCCCACCTTTGGCATCCGTCACAAACACATGCAAAGGCAAGTCAATTGTTCATCTGAAAAAACACGGCAACATATGGTTTCAGTAGAAATAGGGAACTGCATCGGACATCAGTTTTGTCACTGATGCGTTAATTTTGGAAATACTTTGGAAAATACTAGTTCTATCCCCCTATGGTGACTAAAAAAGCCCTTGGCAAACAAATGTGTACTTTGTGTCACGTGGTTTTTATACAAAGAGACAGTTGACTGTTTGAAAGTTGAAGTCATCCCTCTTGTCCTACAGTCAGATAGTTTGTGTCACTCTGAATATCTATGCATATACAGTAAACTACGGTTATAACGAACTCAATGGGACTACTAATTTTAGTTCGTTATAACCGTAGTTCGTTATATGCATATATACAACATAACTGCAGCAAATAGTCGGGACCAAAAAAGTAAGTTCGTTATATCGGTCAGTTCGTTATAAGCGTGTTCGTTATAACCGTAGTTTACTGTATCTAAAAGGAAACGGATGAGACGGTTTCACTGATCTCTTTCATTTCCAGTTCAGGTGGGTTAGTCACTGGAAGGTTATGTGGAAATCAATGTCACACTTATTATCAGTGGAAGTTATGTCACACTAAGCATGTGGAACCCATGTCGAAACCAAATATGTGAAAATAGTTGTCACGAGGTGTGTAGAAATCTATGTGAAACGAATTAAGTGGAAATCTATGTGACGTGATGTATGCCGAAATATATGTGACACGGTCGCGAGGTAAGTGGAAATCTATGCCACACGCAGTAAGTGGAAATCTATCACACGAAGTAAGTGGAAATCTATGTCAAGCAAGATATGTCGAAATCTATGTGACACGAGGTATGTGGAAATCTATAATAATGTCACACGCAGTAAGTGGAAATCAGTCACACGAAGTAAGTGGCCATGGAAATCCATGTGACACGAGGTATGTGAAAATCTATGTGACACGAGGTTAGTGAAAATCTGTGTGACACGCAGTAAGTGGAAATCTGTCACACGAGGTAAGTGAAAATCTGTCACACGAAGAAAGTGGAAATCTATGTGACACGAGGTAAGTGGAAATGTATGTCACACGAGGTAAGTGGAAATCTGTCACACGAAATATGTTACAATCTGTGCCACTCGAGGTATGTAGAAATCTGTCACACGAAGTAAGTGGAAGTCTATGTGACACGAGGTAAGTGGAAATCTATATCACATTGGGATTGTGGAAGGCACCATACGTGTGTATAATGCATCATTCACCTAGCGCCTCTGTAAAGTTTCATTGATATTGTTATAGTTTTTATGTTCACTACTTTAGGGATACCCTTCACTCGCATGCCACAGTTGAATACGAATACCCCACTCAGACACAGTATCTGACTCCAAGTCGGCCAGTATTTGCTTTATCCCTTAATGCCGAGCGCCAGGCAGGGAAACAACAAGTACCATCGTTTAACATCTGTTAGTATACGCAGCCGGGAATCGTAACACCGACCTTCCGCTTGCCGGCCAGAAGCTCTATCAACTGGACAACGGAGGCCGTCGAATATGAATATGCATACCGCGAAGGTTAGTGATCTTTCAACTTACTTTACTATCCTTTTTGAAAAGTTAGCAAGATAAACTGCATTTTACAAATCCAGCATATGTTCTAGTTTCAGTGCATTCATATATGTTCATTTATACCTTCAATGTCATGTCATAACCAAGACTTATTGGCATAGGAAAGTGTCATCATATTCCGTGCCATCACGCACACTCTCGCATCATAACATGTATTCATATTTCCACATATATCGTGCCACACTTAGGAGACCTGATTGATTTTGACACAATGTTTACAATGTATTATTTATACACATACATGTATGTATTCATGTGCAGTAGGACATTATTTTTTGATGGTTTCCTTTTGTTTTCGCGAACACCTGGGGTCATCACTGATTTTCAGTGGTCCATTCATATAATTTTCACAGCTATGTTGCCCACAGCTAAAGTTAAATCTGTTTCGTAGGATAATCTAGACTGGTTATTCGCTTGCAGTGACAATTTAATTTTACATATGTAGCACAGTAGTATAGGACGGGTCCGCAGAAGGTAGTTTTGGTTGATCCGGTTGATCCAGGCGGATGCGAAGGTGATTGGTTGATCCAAGTCACGTGATCGGATAGGATGACTCATGCATCAACAGCGCGTCACAGGTGAGGGGGAATGAAAGGTGTGTGTTTATAAGGCAGAAAAGAATTCATAAGAAAACAAAAGTAAAGGGTATTGAATAGAGCTAAGTGTATGGCGTGCTGTCCTAAATAGACAGACCGTACCCGTCAGCCCAGTTTGAATTGAGCGCGCTTGACAACTCACGTGACCACATATTTGTATAGAAGGCGTTCAGCCCTGTCCCGACTTGCATAGTTGATGTTTCAACGCTAGCGTTTCCATTTAACGCGATGACAAATAAGCCCTACGGTTTGAGTTTTAACCGTGTAACATGATGTGCACAGTTTTACTTCAGAACGTGCTATTTTGAAAATAGATAGAAAACTGATAAGTACATGTACCAGTGTGACGGCACGAAGCTAGGTTTGTTGGGAAAGTGATGGAAGCAATCTATAGGACATTTTCATGTTTACAATACTCACCCTTAATTCGAAGAGAGAACAGAGTTTATCATGGA